TATTTTTATTATCTTGACAATGTAACATTTAACGCTACCTGCTGTCATGAATTTGTTAGGTAAGAAAAAGGGTTGGTCCCCATCAAATTCACTGCCATTAGCACTATTTAAAAAGTACGGAGTATTAGCTAATATATGCAACAAAGTAATGAATTTTAAATTTTTGTACAACCTAATGAAGATTTGAATATATAAATTTAGGCCAAGCACGATCAAAAACATTTTTAAAATTTTAATTTAGTGTAAATAGATCCTTATGATAAATTTAAACTCGAAGTTAACTAAATTATCTTCACTAAACCATTTTATAAAATATATAAAAATAAATAATTTTGTAAAATAATCGAAAATGACATTATTGGAGGAGGACGCGCGTGAAAACACTCATAAAGTTTCAATTTTGTGCAAATAGGTCTCTCTGACAAATTTAAACCCTAAGTTGACTTAATTACCCTTACTGAACTATTTTATAAAATATATAAAAATAAATAAAATGATTGAAAAGGACAAGTAAAGATAAAACTCTTAAAACTAGTGCACACTGATATTGTGATGTTTTTTCCTTTTTTTTAAACAATGTTGGTACGAAAATAAAATAAAATTAAGAAAAAAAAATTTAGTAGAAAACAGTAAACTGAAATCTCAAAAAATTCAAATTCTTATTCTACAAATTTTCGAAGTTTCAAAAAAATATAAAAATAAAAATAAAAATAAAAATAAAAATAAAAAAGTTTAGAGATATATATAAAGAAAAAAGTTTCAAAATATATACATATATATAAGGTAATGTGTATATAACACCCCTATATTATTAGATTAGTAGTAAATATACCTTCTTGGGCATTTTCGAAAAAGTAAAAGGGCAAAACGAGTATTACAATATTAATTTATGTCAATTTTTTTGTTAAGGTGTATTTTTGCACAATATGAAAAGATTAGAGATATGTTTTACATACTTTTTTAAATAAAGGATAAAAATATCACGCAAAATATATTTTAAAAGTATTTTATGCACTTATCCCATATGAAATTCATTATTTAAGTCCACCAAGGTTGCTTGCAAAAGGATGAGTAGTGAAAAGAGACTAGATCTGGGAATATTCTGATATTGCATTATATATTGTAGTCTGTAGTTGGGGATCTATAAGGACAATAAGAAAGTAAACGAAAGAAATATGTAAACGAAAGAAATATGTAAACAAAAGAAATTTAGAGGATTTTGAAGAGTGCTTTTTATTTTTTAGGGCAATAACTTTTGCTTGAGAGGGGAAGGGTGCAAAGTTGGAACACCGATTCTTAAACATAGGAAACACTCTAATCATTTGGGCAACACGAAATTTACTGTTTTCCACTTCTGATTATCAATGACTATAATTTTTTTATTTTCACAAATCACAAATAAATAAGTCTCAGGTTTTACTTTCGCAATAATTGTTTTCCACTCATTAGTTCTGAATATAATTTTCCTTTTATAAGTAATTATTTTCCACTAGTAGGCCTGAATATTATTTTCCTTTGATCAAACAAGACGTTTGGATGGAGTGAGAATCATACACCAACACTCTTTCTTTCTTTTCTTTTATATTTTTGTAGTTTGGGCAAATTCATGGATCGTTTAATCCATGAATGTTACAATTAGGAATGATATCTTTCATTTTCACTCTTTACATCTTTACGCATGACGATTGTAGTTCAAACTTTCTCTCTTCTGAAGAATTTATTGTTCTTTAATATCATGTAACGTTTTCAAAATATAAAAACTTATCGAGAACTATTGTAATTGTTTTCCAATCTGCCTCTATTTGACAACAAATGCGGTACTATTCAATTCGCAACAAAAATTTCTAAATGCATATCCGTGTTTTGCTTCGTTACAGTTTACACATTGGCAAACAGGTCATAAAGACCCATTGTGTTCGGCCCGTTTTGATTTAACGTGAGGAGAGTAAGGCATATAACATTTTGGGCTTGTTTGAAAAATGGGCTAAAGTTGGGTCTTGTGATGTGTCTGTTGAGAAGTTTATAGATATTTGTTTCAAGCCTAGCCCATCACAAGGCAAATTGTTGTAGGGCCTGTTTGGACCATATCTCAGGAAATAATTCTTTGTGTTCACAGCCCTTGCTCCAAGTAGCTCAGACCAAATCCACCTATTGGCCTTTTTCGACTTTTTCTTTGTTTGGCAAAATCTTCTATGTCTATTCTATCTTTTCCATCTTAATTAATCAACCACCCCATTACGTCTATTCTTTTGACCAAAAAACACACATTCCTTTTTGTCTCATGTAACCATATTTCTATCGTTATAATCTCACATCTCACCAGACAATTGATTAAAAGTTTGGGATAAGAGAGTGAAGGAGAAACAAAGTATAGTAATAATAGGGAAAGGGAAGCTAGGTCATTTTACATGAAACTAAACTTATTTACTAGGTGAGTGTAAATAACTCATCTCTAATTTAAAAAGTGTGCAAATAACATCCCTTAATATAAAAAATGAGCAAATTATCAATTAAATAAAGTTAGATAGGCAAATATACTAAAATACCCCTCAAGATTCTCTTTACAAAAATAATAAAAGATGAGTAGAAATTGAAATTACTTGAAAGGGCTTACACAAAATTAGAGACTAAAATCAAATTAAATGTAATGTAAAAATCAATAAATAAAAAATATACATAATGTAAAGTATATATATATATATATATATATATATATATATATACTTTACATTATGTATATTTTTTATTTATTGATTTTTACATTACATTTAATTTGATTTTAGTCTTTGAATCAAATAAATAATTTTTTATTATCTTTATCTAACAAATAAAATAAAATAAAATATAATGTAATGTATAAAGTCAATTGCCAAATCATATTCCTATTGATAATTACTTAATAGTAATATAAATAAATACTGTATAAAAAATTATATATTTTTTGTACGGAATAAACTATTTTCTTTTATACATATGACAAACCCTTATATATATTCATCTTATTGAAATTTAATTTTATTCTTTTTTTTGCTAAATTAATATTTAATTATTAGATCACGTGAATATGGAAAAATAAATTACTAACATAATATGTAAATCACTTTTATGTTATAGAAAATATTATTATTTTTATATATAAAAAATATTAATGTAACACATGGCACAACATCTCACACGTGAACATGTAGAGGGCCTCTGATACACACTAAGATATAAGTAGAATTTTTGAAGAAAGATAAATTTAATTTATTTATTTATTATTATTAGTATTAAAGAAATATAATTTATATATGTGGGAGAGAGTTGTTAGAGATAGACTGAGAATGAAAAAGAAAAAATATATACAAACAAAATTTATAGAGAGGGGAGTTTTTTGCACTTCACCCCTTATTTATATCATCACTTTTATTGAACTTAGTGCATAACATGTATTATGAAGTTATATAATAGGTAGCATCAAAATGATTAATCTTACCTAAAGGGCAACATTATTTTTATCATGGTATAAAATGTAGTATCAATAAAATGTAGTATCAAATTTATTTATTTATTTTTATTTTTATTTTTATTTATTTATTTATTTTCATTATGTTTTTATTTATTTATTTATTTCATTATTTTTTTCTTTGTTTGTCCCATGCATGTGGGATCGACATGATGATTTTCACTACATAATTTTATGGGTCTATTATGAAAAATTAGAGAGTACCTGTTGATGAATTATGGAGTGTTTTAAAAAACTTGACACCATCTTTTTTTATATATATATATATTTAACAAGAATCATATCATTGATAATTATAATTTTCTGCATAGAACTATGAAAAAAACCTCTGACCGAAGATCGAGGACGTAAGAAGCTAGTAGTTGGGTGTGTTGATTCTAATAATGAAAAACGTGATCAAACTTTTTACATGTGATAAAAGAACACATTTTCAGAACACTATCAAAAGTTTTTGAGTAGGTCCGTAGTACCATTTGATGACAAGGATACAATCAATAGACCTTTTCTCGTTCTATGATTTCTGTCTCATTCAAAAATTGTCCTTGGCACCATTTGATGATAAGGATACAAACAAGACCTTATCTCCTTCAAAAATAGAAATTCCCTTGTACCCTCGGAAAATGTCCTTGCTCCTCCTATATTTTGAATTTAGGTATACCAAAAAAAAAAAAAAAAAAAAAATCATAATTTAATTTGAGTTTAGCTCGAAATAAGACATCAAATAATCCAAATATAAAATAATTTCGAAATGACAGCTCAATCTTAAAATGAAATCTATTTCAGACTGTTCATCTTTATATATAACTTTTCACATAATTTTTTGGGTTAACTTCCGCATTATTGCTTTTATGAAAGTAACATTTAGTTTTATTTTTTAAATTCTCACAATGGATAATTTATTGGGCACAAGATTCATTTCGTATTCCATCTTGATTTTGAAAATCAAACCGAATTTGAGTTTATTGTTGGAGTGAAATAAAAGGAGAAGAAAATAAAAATCATGGAAGAAAAACTCACTTTTGTGTTCAGTTTTTAAATAATTAAAGAGAAATGGAAAGATTTGGAGAGAGGAGTGCAAAAAAACACCTTTGTTATTTACATAATGCGCAAATACCTAGTGTTAAAAAAAAAAAGAAGACAATTTGTCAATATCAAGATTGAAATACTGAAAATACCCTTAATAATTTTTATAAAAAAAATATTGATTTTAAATTTTAAAATTATATTTACAGGTATTTTAGAATTTTTATAATTTTTTTTTTTTGGTCAAAATTGACAATCAACAAATATTAGGGAACAATTTACACATATTTTCAAATGCTATCAATTTATATGTACGTAATAAATAACAAATTGGTTTTTTTTTTTTTTGACACATTTTTTATATATAAGTTTAATTTTTTTAGTTTAACATATTATACCAAACGCGGCTTTAAATATTTGCACACGATACATATGGAATTGGGTTAAAATATGGAATTGGGTTAAAATATGATATGTGGATTCAATTGAATTAAATTAAGCAGAGACTAAAGTAGTCGTCTCTTCAGCGCCAAATGCATGCTCTGAGGGGCGACTGACACAGCTATTTTTGGTCTCAGGTGTGTGAGTTTGTGTGTGTGTGCATATACATATATATAGATAGATATAGAGAGAGAGAGAGATCTTCATGGACGAAGGAAGGAGGCGGGGTTGATGTGGTGAATAATACAAGGCAGCTTAAGATGCGTCGAGAGATCTGGGTTTTAGTTCAGCCACGGTGCCTTCTCATCTTCTTCGTCGCATCAATTCTCATCTTCGTCGCTTTCTCGATCTCTAAACAGGTATGCTTTCTTACCCATTAGGCCATATATAAATACCTATATATATATATATATGTTTTTATATATGTAGATGCCTGTACATATTAATATATTTTCTGGGTTTTGAATAAAAAAATGTATTTCGTTGCCTTTTGGTTATGATTGTAGTTTGATTGTAGAATTGAATTGGGAAATATTTGGACTCCGATCTGATTGAAAGGTTTATAGAAAAGGCAATGCTTATTTTTATGTGATATATTTATTGTCTTTTGGGAATTTTATTGTTGAGCTATGATCTGCATAAAGAATTGCGATTTTGAAACTTTGAGTAACTTACATTATGTAATGGTTCCTAATTAGTGTTTGCTTTCTGAATTTTGAGGCAGAATCTTGTTATTCAGTAGCTAAATCGCCTGTGTGCGACTTACCAAAAATAAAAGAAAAATGGTGTATGGGTGCTTACGGGTTATAGGCACTTGGTCACCACAGGAAATGGAGAATTAGAAACTGAGATGAGAAGGTTTTGATTGGTTTGTTTTAATATTGACTTAATTTCAGGAATTGGAGAATTAGAAACTGAGCTGAGAAGGTTTTGATTGGTTTGTTTTAATATTGACTTAATTTCTGTAGTATCCTAAATTTCAACTTAGGTTGATGGACATTGAGTTTGTTGTATTGCTTTAAAACTTGCAAATAAAAAAGTTAGTTTTTGTATTGCAGTGTGGGTGTTTTAGGGAGAGGTGTTTATTGACTCTTCATGTTGGATAGTTGTTGTTTGTCTCAAGAGTGCTTGATTATCAAAAGACTCAAAACCCACATATTCATTTTTCTGACAATCCAGTTTATCCATGTTAGTGGTGATATACGATCCCTTGCTGGTTGCTCTATAGGTCACAAATTATTGGCTTGTTCATGGCAGCAAAGTGTTCTAGGCAAGTGCTATTTTTGTGTCATTGTAGTTAAATTGCTGGGAACTAGGTGATCAATTTATGTGGGAAACATATCAACATGGAGGTAGCCAAAAAATTTGCGCATGAGTTACTGTGTATTGATGATGGGCGAATGCCAAGGTTCCAAAATCCAATGTTGTTATAATTATGCCTTAGGTTTAGATAATTAAGAGTTATTTAACAATATTTGGATGGGATTCTCCAATGCCTTTTCTTCTTGTATTTTCTTGTTAATAAGTGGATTATTATCTTCGAAGTTTTGTTCGTGGATGAAGCCTTGGATGTCACTGAACCACATAAAATTGTTTTTTTTGTACTATTATGGTTATGATTGCCTTGTTTAGATGTAGCAGCTATACACTTCTTATTTTTCAGTTTTTATTTTTATTTTTTTGTCATACATTGGTAGTTGGACTTGTAATGATCGATTCAATGGCCACCACAGGTGGTTGTAAAGCTTTTTGCATCATGTGCAGGATAAATGAAGAATATGTTTAAGCATGTCAGTGAGTTTATTGGTACACAAGTTATAGAATTGAACAAAATATAAATTAGGAAGATAATGATGGGTATTTGGGTTAAGGTGGAGTCTTGGAGAAGCTAGGATGGATATAATAAATTATTGGATTCAGTGGTGATGATTATTCTGGGTACAGGACCACATCAGACCCCGTGTGTTATTAAGAGTAGTATGTGTGATAGGTCTCTATGATGCAATTTTCACCAATTATTGAGCTCCATATGGATTAATCTCCTTCCAATATGTGGTTTCTCTAGATTTTGATACGTGGAGTATGTAGATTATTGCACCACCTTTCTTCTTGGATCAACATACAGTATAGCTTGATCTTGATCTCAAACTATGGCAGGAGGGTCAATGGAGCGTCTCAAGTTCAGTCCACTGCATAGTGTTACCTTCAGGTCAGATTGCATTCTTGATGTGATCATAGAGTTTCATGGTTTGGTAGCTAAACCTGAGTGCTTGTTGATATATATCCCTAATTGGGATCTACATCATGGCTAGTCTTAAAGAGAGATGACATGTGTCCTTTGTAAAACGTGTTCATCACATGTCATGTTCAATATATTCTAGCTCTCCATCATTCTCCTTTGCCACATTGGCATCTTTGTATGGTAATATCACTTCAACATTGGTGTCAGCTGTCTCTTACCATCCTCCATAATCTTTGGACTTTTATAAATAATGGGACATTCTTGGGTCATCAGACAACAACCTACAGAGGGAGAGGAGGCAATGACCTTGAATTTCTTCTTCGTTTCTCGTGTTCTCCACTAAGCCACTCTCTCTCACTCTCTCTCTCTCCACACACACACACACACACACACACACCTATATATATCAGCTGCTCCAGTTTCCACCATAGCTGATTTGTTAGGACCTGTGTCACTCGATTGTGAAAATCTATCTCCCCAGAACTTGACTCGCACGATTTCAATTAACATCTAAGATGCTTAAGTTGTCGCTAGAGGTTTGTTTTACCACTTTTTTTTTTTAATCACTATTTAGTTCCACAACAGTTTAATTTAATGAACCATTTATGTTGATGGAATGTTCGTGCCAAGGTAAACAAGGCAAAGGGGGTTGGGAAAATTTTTAGGCATTTCATTTGCTGAGTAGTTTCCAACCCCTTGGTGGGGCTTCTCATATTATTCTCTTAAGGTGGAGAATGGCGAGTTTTGTGTGGATAAATTATCAATACTATTCCTTTTTTGCTAGGATTTGTCTGGTTAGGGTTTTCTTCAGGATATATGGTATCCTGATTGCCTTGAGTGTTTAGATGTAAATGAAAAAGAGGTTTTAAAGGAAAGCAAGACTGCTGGAACACGAAGCAAGACAGTACTGAGAAACTTGAAGGTTATGAATTTCTTGTAGGTTTAGGGTTTGAAGGGTAGGAGAAAGGTTTTAATATTTGGATATGGAAATTGATTTTGCTGTACTGACTGATGATATTATTTTCCATAGATCATACTCTGCCAGCAGCAATTGTCATATTTCTTTAGCTGCAACTATCATATTTCTTTGCTCTCTCTGAATCGAAATATCATGTATGAAATTTCAGTCCCTTCATTCCCAAAAAACAAACAAAATAAGAAACCTAACTTTGTAGATTACCATGTTGTTGCACAGTGGTGATCCACACCCTCTCCCCGAAAAGAGAGAGAGAGAGAGAGAGAGAGGGGGGGGGGGGGGGGGGGAGGATTGGTTGGAGAGAAAAAGAGAGAGATCCAACACACTCTAGGGGAAAAACCAAAAAGATAAAGGGTTTCTGATATCTTTACGACCACCAATCTGGCGAATGCGTGATGTACAGAATGAGGTTGCATGGAAAGACTTTAAAATGTGGTTTGTGCCAAAACTGCTATGACAATTAATCTTGAAGTGACATTGGGGTAGATGGAAGGTTGTATGTTTATTAATTGGTTTAAGCATCTATTGATATTGGAGAAGGTGGATTTGGTTATGGTGATGCAGTTAGCTTTTCAAATGGAAAGGATTTTTAATACTATTAAAGTGGAGGACAATGTTGTACAAATATATAATGAACCAATATATGATTGAAATGAAGACTTTTGTGCTGCAATTGGTGGGAAGGAAGCTAAGAAGCATGGATATGTGAATGCGTGACATGGACATGACAACATGGCATATACCAAAAAATCAAGACACGTACTTGGCGTGTCCAAAAAGAAAATTGCTTGGGCACTTTTTTTGGTGGGTCCGACACATGTCGGGCCGTGTCTGACCCAGACACTTCGACCTTTAGGTGTGTTCGTGCTTCCCAGAAAGGAAGGAAGAGAGTTGGATGGAAGATAGGAAGGAATGGGAATGAACAAACTTTCTTCATTTGGTAGAGAGGAGACAAGAAGGGAAGGGAAGAGAGGAAGGATGAGCCATCCTTCCTGACCACCCACAAGTTTTAGTCCCTCTAAAAGTTGATGAATGGAGGAAGGAAGGAAGGAAAACAAACTAATATACAAGTTGTAATTTGTCAATACCACTCTTCATAATTATTAGAGATAAACTAATACTTGTATATTAGTTTTATATAATGAGAGCGTACTAGTGAAAAAAGAAAATACAACATCCATCCTTTTTATTATCCTTTCCATTCAACCAAACAGAAAATGAGGACGACACCTTCCCTTCCTAGGAATGCCTCATCCCTCCCTCTCTCCCTTTCCATGCCAAACAGAGCATTAGAGAGAAGTGATCTCTTCTCTTTCATACTTTCTCTCTCTAAAATTAGTTACAGGCTAGCTACTTTTTTCCACTTACACGCTTGGTTTTTCGGTGACTTTCTAGTCGATTTATCTTCAATAGTTTTCCAGCTTCAGACATTTTTTTTAGCAAAAATGCTTTTCTCCATTGAGATCACATGTCAATGAAAACTTCTGAACAATTTTCTCTAAATATATGGCTTTGATGAGGTCTCTGACACATTTCTTGGTCAGAAATTGTTGAAGAAGGAGAATATATTCCATAGGAGCCTTTGATTCTGTATAAACAGAAAGAAGATCATCTCAACCTCTCTGATTTTCCTGCTCTGGTTTGATGTGGTCAGCAGGTAAATAATTCACTGATTGCAAAATCTGCAAATTCAATTCTAGAAGATCTTGGTGCTGAGAATAGTTTCTGAAGCTCCAAAACCTTGGAGTTCCTTGGTTACTGAAAAGAATTCTGGTAAACAATGCATTTGGATTTCTGAGAACGGAAGGATTAACATAAAACCTCCATGGCTCACATCAGATCTTGCAACCCTTTCTTCACCCATAACTTCTCTGCAATGTTCCTCACCAATGATGATGGGAGCTTTCAACCAATGAAATACCTAAACAGAGAGTGAGCCCATTTGTTTATTTCTAATTGCGAGATCTGATGGAGGATTTATCGTAATCTCTTATTCTCAGAAGTAGGAGAGAAGAAATCCAAATGCATTTTATCAGATTTCTTTTCAGTACCAAGGAACTCCAAGATTTTGGAGCTTCAGAAATTGCTGGTAGATTCTTAGCATTGAGATATTCTAGAATTGAATTGGCAAAGTTTTCAATCAGTGACTTATTTACCCGCTGTTCTCGTCGCTGGCATAGATTCATAGAAAATAGTTCAGATGATGCCGGAGATCTCACCGGAGAAAAGAATCTTACCCAGGAAAAAAATTTGAAGCAGGAAAATTGCTGGAGAGAATACGCTAATGTATAATTTTGATGGGAATTAGTTGCTGAAAATACTTATGGTAACTGATTCAAATTTGTAAGTTTAGAGACTTAAACAAAAGACGAAGTTGGGTCTTTGGAACCTAGCAAGCCAGTCATTGCGACAGCCGACAGGACTTTGGTGAAGTAAATAAAATTACAGCTAAAAGTACAAGCACTTTCACATACAATTATATATACACATTCATTTTAATTTCAGTTTTATTTTCCTTTTTTCTTTCTCTATATTATAGGTATTTGTTTTGTTTTTTGTTGTTGGTTTCTTCTTGAGTGTGGAGTCATTAGATGGTATTTAATATTTTGCACTTATGAGCTGTTTGCAACGTAAAAAAGGAAGTTTTTTTTTTTTTTCAAAAGAATTTTTTGTATACAGGGTTGGAATTGTAAATTTGTGGGTGATATGGTGGATTTTGTGGATACGCTGATTGTTGGTCCCGCTTTCTTTGTCCTTGGGTTCACTCCACTTTGAGCGCTCTTTAATGAAGTATTACTCACCAAAAAAAGTGTTCTTAATCTGCCCATCTAATGAGAAAGATGCGGTTTGACCTCTCTTTGATGATTGAGTTTTTTGTTTTTAGGTGGCTACATTGCATTTAGATTATCCATGCTTGAGATTTGAAGCTATTGTTTTTACTTTATGTGGAGTCACCGTTTTACTAAAGTATTCTCACTCCCAATATCTATGTCTAATATTTGATGTTTGTTTAATCCTTCCTGTATTTTGATTCTCAGGAGGAGAAGAAGGTAGAAGAGGTACACGAAATCACCCACCGAGTGTTTCTGGATGTTGATATTGATAAACAACGTTTCGGTATGGATTCTTCACATTATTGTGTAATATTATACTTAGAGTGGCTAGTGTTTTAGAATCAATATTCCTAAAATTTAGTTTGAATTGAACCTTGCCTTTGCTTTTTGTTTTTCAATTCATTATTGTGAGATTATTAAGTTTGTTTGATTTAAAATTCTAATTTTGGGGTTCTCAGTTCCATGAAGATGCTTTTCCTTTTTAATGATTACCATAAAACTCCAAAATATTCTTTATATCTCTAATTATTTGGAATCTCTCCTACCAGCTAGAGAAGTGACAATATTCTTTATATGCAACCAACTGATCATGATCATCTATCAAAGCCTTCACATTGTGTCACCCTTTGTACTTGTTGTTACTACTGGACATTATTGCTTTTGGAATTTGCATCGGTACTAGCCTAGCTGGTTAGCTGAAGAGTGTATGGGGTGGTATAGCCAAGCTAGAGATGTTGCCTTTCACCAAAACGAAAACGTCGCATGTTTGTACATAAACAAATAAAACTCAATGGTATCCAAATCTTTCTTTTTCTTTTTCTTTTTTCCTTTCGGTTTTCATGTTTCCTTTTTACAAACCCTGAACGTTCAAGCTCCTTTAAGCTTAAACATCTAATTCCTTCTTAACTCTTTACCATACTTGGTTTTACCATATTGAGGACTCAAGAGGAATTGTGGAAGAGCTGATCAACTCTCCAACAACGAAGCATCTGATGGTTGATCTCATTTATGTTTTATGGACTTGAGTTCGTATACATGTCTCAGGGTCCCTGTAGTTCCTTTTGCATTTAAGTCCCAAATATTAGATGCCCAATATTTTTTGTTTCCTTTAGGCTACGATAAATGGAATGTCAATGTAAATTAGCATGTTTTATGAAAGGCGTGGAAAGGAAGCCTTAATTTGACATATGCTAGATGATACACGGTCCACTTGGAGTCTTGAATAATTGGGGATTTTGGCCAAGTTGCATTATTTATGAGCTTGGTGGGCATTATGGTGCAATTAAGCTGAGTTTTATTTGCTTTTATTTATGCTATTAAGTCATGAGTTATGAATTTGAAGAGTTGTGAGTCTTATTGAATACCTCAATTATGAGGCAAGTCCACAAGTCATGAGTTCACCTCCATGTAAGTCTAAGAGGCATGAGTAGAATCCTATATAGGGATGGGATGTAAACTTGGTTGAATCAGTGAGTGAATGAATAATCAAATATCAATGAAATTTTCCTTTGAGTGACTCACAAATTACGAGTGAGAGACCTTTTTTGGGTGTGATGCCTAGATAGGCTGCTCTTTTTCCATTTCTTTTCTCGATTTTTGCTACATCTCTACTATCAAACCTCAAACTCCAGCCCTGATTATTTGAATTTTCAGCCTCAAAACTCTTTAATTTTCATCTATTTGAGACTGCTCCTAAAGTCCTAAATCATATAATTTTTTTATTTTATATTTTTTTTTTGACAAATGAACCATGAATATGTTCCTTTCTTCCTTTATCAGCTGACTGGATACGATTATAGTTACAGCTTATGGGCATGTCTAGTGCATAGGTGAAAATCACACATTTTAAAGCATCCATGTAATGCAGCAATACTTAAAAATCCCCTGATGACCTTCTACTCGATTAAATTGATAGAGATACGTGGACCACTTCCTGTTCAATATGGTTCCGATTGAATTGGCTACTATAAATTTGATATATGAGCAACTGAAGTTTCCCAGTTGTGGTATTATTACTGAAAAAATTAAATGAAATGCATCAACTATAAGATCTGACATTTTAGAGGGATCCAATCTAGTGTAGATCTAGGGAACATATTTTTGGAAGCTGCTTAATCATGGGCGGGGAGGGAATGCAATGGCAATCCGGATCAAGGCTGTGTCTGAGTGTGGCATAGTAGTAGCCTAAGCAGACTTGAAAATGTTAAATGTTAACATAACATTCTAGGATAGAGACCCAACATCCAGAATGTGGCCATTAAAAAACATTGAAGACGTCACCACCATAGCACCAAGTCTTGAGTTTCTTCAGTGATGGTTCTGCACTATCATTTTCCTTTCTCAACCATCATTTGATAGGTAACTGCCAATTCTTGTAATGGCCCAGTTCTGGATCATGGATGGTCAGGGACGGAGCCAGGATTTAATTTCAGAGAGAGAGAGAGGAGGGGGGACGGGACAGTGTACTTGATTTAAAAAAAACAAAAAAACTAAATGGACGTACCATGGTGTAGTGAAATATCTAATAAAAGGATGGTTGTGTTGGTTAAATATTGGGTACGTTGATTTTTTAATATACAATATTGACTCGATCAATATTGGGCACTTTGGTTTGATTATGGCCACAGAAACCAATACAAGTAGTGCTATACAATTTGTTTCTTTTTTGAAAATCATAGTAAATTCATAAAAATCATTCCTACTTAACTGAAAATGGAGTTTGTTGGAATATTATATATATAGGAGTAATCTTAGAAGACTATATTTAAGCTTATACGGTCAAAATAACCTATTCAAAAATTAAGATTTAATTGAAGAAAGGGAATGCAAATTTATTTAAAAAGAAAAAGAAAAAGAAAAAGAAAAAGAAAAAGAACCTAAGAAGCACTGAAATGGATACGGGAAAAATTAGGACACGGACACGGGGGGACATGGCAAATAATAAATAAATTAAGAGTAATATTAGTTTTTAAAACCTCATAATGAAAAAAAAATTGTGTTTTGCTGGGAAAAATAAAGAATGATAGAAAGAGGGTTAAGAGAGAAAAAAAAAAAACAAAGAAACAAATAGGATTAGGGTTTTGTTAGAATAAGAATTAGGGCCTGAGTTAAAAATAAAGGTTAAAATCCATAGAAGAGAAAAAAGTTCATGGGGAATAAAGAAAAAAAGAAAAAGAAACGCAAAAAGAAATTTATTGTGAAAGGAAAAAAAGAGCTATCTAGGATTTGTGAAGAACAACAACAAGAAAGAAAAAAGGAGGACGAAGAAGAAGAGAGAAAAGAGAATAGAGAGAAAAGAGGGGAGAGAGAGAGACCATCCACCGATAGCGAAGCTTGGTTGGTGAGAGAACAAGAGAGTTAAGATGATCTTACAAGAGTTCGAACCTTGAGCTAAAATATAAGGATAAATATCTAATTGATTTATAAAACAACTTTTAAGTAATTATGTAATTACCATCATATTGTTGAAAGTTATTAACAACTTCTAATATTCATACTTCAACTCATCATTGTTCTTAAAACTTTCTTAAAAGTCCCCGAGATTGGGACACGTGTGTCGGACATGTATCCATGGCGTGTCGGACGCGTGTCCAAGGTGTGTCCGGATATTTAAGAAAATATAAAATATTCGGACACATTTTTTGGTGTGTCCGACATGTGTTGAGGTGTGTCCGGCGCGTGTTGGTGTCCGACACGGATTCTTTGCCCTTTTAGGCGTGTCTGTGCTTCCTAGAAAAAAACTGAAGAGGAAGAAGAAAAGTAAGAAGGGAAGAAAGAAAGAATTAGAGAGATTTAAAATAATAATAATAATAATTTTAGGGGGTGCACCATGTAATACTTTACAAATTATATATATAAAATATTTAATTGGCCAGCCTGGGCCTGGGCCTGGGCCTTGGGGGGGGGGGGGGGGGGGGGTTCTCCGTCCCTGTGGATGGTTATGGTATAAATTTGACTGCTATATAAAGTACACTAGAGCCTCTCAATATAAGTGGGACAGGCTATTTAATTTAAGTGGTATAAACTGTGACTGCTTTTAGTTTGTTAATTTCCTCTGGTCATATGTGCTTGATCATATCTGTCCGTATTCCTCTAAAAAAATTTAGGTAAACTTGTCATGATTGTTGTTGGACAAGGTGATATCTTTTTGAAATGCAAATTAATGGTTCATATATTTCATGGCAATATGTTCTCATATAGATTTCTTTCTTAGGTTTCACTTAAATGTCAGCTAGGAAGTTGTATTTTGTGTATGAGAACATATTGTCTACAAATTGTTAATATCGTGATCTTGGTGATGTCTGCAAGGCACTTCTCATTTTGTCAAATTTTATATATTGATTTATGTTTTTACCCATTCCAATGCATCACTTATAGTTCTTTTTTCTACTATATTGAAAGTATGATTGAAATTTCAGTAAATACTGAACGGATGAAATATTGTAGATTCCCCCTTTTTCTGATGCATTTTTTATTACTTCATGTCCCATCTCTCTTTTTTCTTTAATTTTTTTTTTTTTTTTTTTTTTTTTTTTTTTTTTTTTTTTTTTTTATCGAACTTACTGTTGAATTTCTGCAGGGAGAATTGTCATTGGGTTGTATGGCCAAGTTGTGCCAAAAACTGCTGGTATGCTTTCAATATTTTGACGATAACTTTAATATTTTGGATCCTTACTTGAACCGAGTTCGATTGAGAATATTTATATTCGTTTCTTGTTATAATTATGAGTTCACAAATGCTCCTCCAAAAGTTGGTTCGCAAATTTTCAGATAAATTAAAGAAGAAAGAAGGTTGTCTTCACCAACTTACAATCATGTAAATGTACCTCCCCTTGATAGATAAACCATGGTTGATTTGGACACACTTTTAACTGAAGGATTTTATTTTAAAGTTTTACCAAGAAAATTTGCCTATCAATGAGGATTAGTTTTCTGTGTTTCTGTCTATCTTCAATGCTGTATGATTACCTATTCTTATAATAAAATGACAAATTTCAAATTAAGATACTAGTTAATTCTTTTTTTCCAGTATCCTTGACAGTGATTATTTTTTTGAAAGAACAAAATAAATTCAGTTTTTATTTTGTTTTGCACAATTACCTAATCCTTTGATAATTCCTGCTTGCAGAAAATTTCAGGGCTTTGTGCACAGGTATTTGATGCCTTTTCTTAATAGTTTCACACAGTTTTAAACCTTCTAATACTACATTGCTAATAATAATGGCTTCTTTTATTTATCTTATTTAGTTTACTTATCAAAAAAAAATAATGGCTTCTTTTATTGTTCACGTGCTGCAAATTACTTGCTCCTAAAAGCAGGGGAGAAAGGCAAGGGTCCCAGTGGAAAAGCTCTCCGTTATAAAGGGACACCATTTCATCGTATAATACCTGGGTTCATGATCCAAGGTGGTGATATTGTCTACGGTAATGGGAAGGGGAATGAATCTATATATGGCGGCACCTTCCCGGATGAGAATTTCAAGATAAAACACTCACATGCAGGTTGTTAACATTTATTTGTATGAATGTTCTCCTTTGCTGTAGTGTATGCTTCAAATGCACAATATCACATAATACTTGCTTAAAGCAGGGGATTTTTCCTTGCGATATGAGATTTCTATTATTTACCTTTTTCCTACTGAAATCGTTGGTTCTTGCAGGTGTTGTTTCCATGGTGAATTCGGGACCTGATTCCAATGGTTCACAGTTTTTCATCACCACAGTCAAGGCCAGCTGGTAAGCTTTTGCTAGGAGTGGCATTATGGTAAACGAATATTTAAGCAGAAATAATATTGCCCAGACAAAACTTGTTTTGGTTGAGTAGACCTAATACTCCTTGTTAATGAGGTCTGAGTTTTAAGTTTCTTATGTCCGGTCTCTTAAATTTCCGATCCAGAGGTAGCATACTTCTCTTTTTTGCTACTTCTGTAACCATCTATTGATGCCAAGATTGTCTGTGACTGGTAATCAGATTATTCCAGCTTCAGTGACCTGGTAAGGTTCATCATTGACATAGTCAACCTCCTAAGAACCGGATAGGGGTTGGTTTCGACAACATCCATAGTGGGTTGATTACTAAACTTGAGCCATAAATCCCAATAGTGTTTGAAATTATACGGATGTAACATATGGTCCAGATGCATCAAATCATTCGAGTCTAGTTACACGGTTTCCAGATATTTACTATAATTTTCTTGTTAAACGACCCAGGTTGGATGGAGAGCATGTTGTATTTGGCAAGGTTATTGAAGGCATGGACACCGTGTATGCGATAGAGGGTGGAGCTGGAACCTACAGTGGGAAACCTAGGAAGAAGGTAATCATCTCTGATTCTGGAGAGATTCCGAAGAGCAAGTGGGATGAGGAAATCCGAGGATTAACAAACGCCTCATGACACTGGTGACATAAAGTTTTGCAGCATGATTTCGTTAATTTGGTTCGTGTAGATCAATTATGCCCCCTTTTGTATAATGTCCATGAAACTGTAGTCCAGCACTGATCATGATATCACAAATTGATTGTATTTAGTCTCCCTTCTTGGAAAACACTGAAAATATGTTTTCTGTAATGGAATCTGCTGATACTTGTCAGTTGTAGAGAAATCAAAGCAAATCATCATGTGCTCTAAATTTCTGATGTGTATACTTGTGGTGGTTCTTTTATCAATTTTCAGTGGTCAATCTCAAATAGACTAGTCTGTGTGTGCGCGCGCGCGCAAACACAAATTCTGTATCAAGGTGAACTTAAAAGCTTTGAACTCTTTAGCTGATTTATTGGCTTGGCATTTGTTGTCCATCAATGCAAGTGAATCCCTCCCATGTTTTGTCACATGCTTCAAGTTCTGCGAAATTCAAATCTAGGCATAATACCATTTTTGTCGTTTGAGAAAGATTGTGCCCCCCCACCCAAAAAAAAAAAAAAAAAAAATAAAATCCTGAACTATTAAATTTTACAAATTAGTTCACCGCTATAAAACAGCATAAGTGGTGTATTAAATTGGAAAATGATATAATCGTTTTTATTTTGTGTTTTTGTTTTCACTCGAAACAAAATATATATATATATATATAAAGTTTTATTGTGAAGTATGTTGAATTGTGATTGGAAGCATGTTTGGTTTGAAAGTAAAAATATGAAACATGTTTGTTAAAAAACATATTGCAAGATTGAGAAAAAAATGCCCGGTTAAAAAAAGGGTCACTTGGAGGTTTTTTTTTTCTTTCCCCATTGCTACAGTGTTTTTGGTACCGTCTTCGCTGTTTCCGATTGGACCTCTTCTGGACAATAATGGTAATACTGTTTAAATCGCTACAAAAATTACCAAATTGTGGTGTTTTGTTTCGCTACCGGTGCATCACTTGTGACACAAAATTGGAAACAAAAACAACTATAAAACACGCCTTTTAATTATATCATCCTCATTTAGCATTTATCACGAATCATGATAGACCAAACAACAACATTCTTCTCAGAATTTTTGGCCTAATCACATTTGTGAAGAGTCAAGTCAACAAACATTTCTGTTAATGTGGCTCCCTGCATTTAGAAATATAGAGAGACCAATCAGAGTACCACATCTCTATAAATATATCAAAACAAGCTCAACTTAATGTTTCAACTTATGGTCAGTGCATTCAACACATTAAATACATAGACGTGCACCACCATTCAATAATTTTGTTTCAACTTAATAGCTAAAATTCCTCGATTTATAAATAAAAATGTTGATATCGAGAACAGAGAATCGGATTAATTTGTCTCACCTTTCCCATATCACAAGATAAAAGGCATGCATGTGATTGCTGGATGGATGTAACAAATCAAATAAAAATAAATAAAGGAAAAATTACATATAAATGAAAATGGATTGCTGAGGTGGCACATGGTTTTTTACAGTTTAAAAAATTGTGGTACCTAAAATGCCCTTCAATTCAAAAAAGTAGTACTAAAAAAGTAGTACCTTCAGTTCAAAAAAGTAGTACCTTCGGAGAAAAAGTAGTACTTCGCGGGTGTTTAAAAAATATGGTACCTGGACGCCAAAAAGTAGTACCTTCAGTTCAGAAAAGTAGTACCTTCGAAGAAAAAGTAGTACCTTCGCGGAAGGGTATTTTAGGCACCACAATTTCTAAACAGTAAAAAACCATGTGCCACCTCAGCAATCCATTTTAGAGAAATATGGAACTTTAACTCAACCTCTAAGTAAATATGGAACTTTAACTCCATTTATATGTAATTTTTCCATAAATAAATGTGAAAGATGAACCCACATCCTTTTGGACAAGACATGGGTAAAAGTGAAAGATGAACCCACCCCCTTTTGCACCAGAAAATAATTTATATGTTATGTTTATTGCCAAACTTGGACTGCTCATATTCTACTCTTGATAAACCAGATTGCATAGGGCGGGTAGTTTTACTTTCCTCCAAAATCTTAAATTAATTAAAGGAATTTAAATAAGTAATTGTTCACTAACCCAAACACCACACCACAATTGTACTAAAGGTTAAAAAGCTAAAAAAAAATCAACACAAGTACATATGTAAATGGTGTTCACAAGGAAAGAATGCTTCAAACGGTTGGTTCACAAAATATTCATTTATCCTTTCGAGCATGGTTCATATTTTAAATATATATATATATATATTTTTAAATTGCCCTGTAATATTCATTTATCATTCACACTCACGACATGTTCGTATCAGAATTTGAACACTCAACTTCCTTTAAAAAAAAAAAAAAACACAAAAAAACAGAAAAAAAGAAATTATACCAATGATAAAAATAGATCAGATATCGGTTTCCGTTTGCTTTGGTTAAGTCTATTTCTATGATGAGTTGACTGCGTTCAAAACATTTACAAGTAGCTATTTCTTTATCAGTTGACTGCATTCAAAACATTTACAAGTAATTGTTACGTCGACTTGTAATTCCTGTTTATTGGTGCGTAATTAATTTATCAACAAATTAAATCATTGAATATAGAAACATAAATTACCTTTTTAACTACCTAATAGAATCAAACATTTACATAAAAAAGCAAGTGAACATTTCCAAATTATATAATTATGAAACAACACAAATTAAGTCTTAAGATATGGTCCAACAGAAAAAGAAAGACATCAAAGCACCATTCATAACCATAAAAACTTCTTTGGACCTAGGTAAGGGGGTTTGCACCCATAAAACCTATTAGGAAAAAGTCCTATAGCATTAATATGCACATACTTCTTCAGATCCTCTTTCTTCATCCAGATTGTTCTAACATGCAAATCATGAAGAAATTTTTTAACTACATTCTTTTTCTTGCTCTGATTATCCTTAGCTTGAGAATTCTTGGATTGATTCACATTGTTTTTCCTTTTTAACATGAACCTTGTTTCTAAGATAAGAATTATCCTTAGCGTGCTTATCTTTTCTACTACTTCTTTAACCATCTAATGAAGCCAGATTGTCTGTGACTGGTAATCAGATTATTCCAGCTTCAGTGACCTAGTAACGTTCATCATTGACATAGTTAACCTCCTTAGAATCGGTTGGGGTTGGCTTTGACAACATCCATAGTGGGTTCATTACTAAACTTGAGCTATAAATCCCAATAACATCTGAAATTATATGGCTGTAACATATGGTCCAAATAGATCATATCATTCGGGTCTCTTAACTAGATGCATACTGTTTCTAGATGTTTACTATATTTTCTTGTTAAACGACCCAGGTGTGAGATATAAATTTGTAATGTTGGCGAATTTAGAAGTCAAAACTTAATGAATCAGTTGTACTTTTGATTATACTGAGTCTCGATCTTTTGGAGCTGAAGCGCAAATGCCTCTTATCATTGTGTTGACACCCATTTTGGCAAATTACGTGGCAAGCCAAATTGTTGATGATCAGGATAAGGAATGATTTGACTACATTGTGGAGTTTAAGTTTTAAATTTCCCATATGCATGTGATCAGAAGATAATTGAAAGCCTATTATTAAGTGATGGGTTTTATCAAGACTCCTAAATAAAGGAGATATGTTATTCAAGGAAAGCGAAGGATATGATGGAAGAATCATGAGAAGACACGTGAATAATGGATGAACATGGGCTTATTAAGTGGAATAAATTTGGTAATCAGTTGTAATCCAATAGCTTAGATTCAGGAAGTATTTTATTTTAGGATTCTTTATAATTTCTATAAATAATTGTAGAAGCATTCTTTGTAAGAGGCCCAGCACCCTCAGAATTTTAGTTTAATATAATTATGCTTTCTTGAGCTCTTCTCATCTTATTCAACTTTCTCTCTTTAGCAATCTTTGTATTCTCAGTCTCTCTTCTTCTCTTCTACATCACTCTATTCTTTTCTTATTATGTTTTCATGATCATTGCTTATTATGTTTTCATGATCATTGCAACTCACTTTCCCATTTAAAGTCCTGTTTATCAAGGCAGTTTGAACCTACTTGAGAGTTTAATGTTCTCTCTCTCATACAATCGTCTGATCCATAACTCTCTTGCAGAAGAGACTCAGTTTGACCTAATCTCTTCACACTCGAACTAAGCTGTTGGTTCTGGCATACCCCTACACACAAATTTCTGGATCAGCTTAGCCAATCGATTTTAGGGTCAAAATTCTTAGCACGCCCGGTGGAACACTAGGTCAAAAAGAATTGCAATGATTCAGCAAAATGAATGCTGATTTTAACAGTATGCAGTCGGCTTTTTAGCCAATGTACGAATATTCTAATTAGCTATATCAGCCACCAGCATCATATTATCGGCAAGTTCTAGTAGCCGATTATTAGCAGGAGGTAAATCAACTTATCTCTCTTGTATATTCGCCACTGGTACACGGGGGGCAGCGGATGGCCAATCAGCCGTATGGTTGGCCTAAATGTTATCAGCGACCAATAACCGAATGATGTTCTCTCTACCATTTTAGGGTTATTTATATTTCTATATATTCAATATTTTCTTTCTGCCATTTTAGGGATTTTTGGTGAATGATGTTCTCTCTGCCATTTTAGGGTTATTTATATTTCTATATATTCAATTTTTTTCTCTCAACCATTTTAGGGATTTGGGTTATTTTTATTTCTATATTTTCAATTTTTTCTCTTAGCTATTTTAGGGATTTTTGGTGAATGATGTTATCTCTGCCATGAGTTGTGATCTGAAATAATCACATGATTAAATGGAAAAAAAGCTAACAGAGCGGGACCGGGGGGGAGGGGGCATAACTATCTCCCAACGGGGCAGGGATGGATTGTAAAATTCAACCCGTATCAGGCATGGGTTTAGGCAAACCCGCCCCGTTGCCATCCCTAGTATAGAGTAAGACAGTCGAGTGTGTAACTACTTTCATACAGCTAGTGGAGATTTTATTGGCTGAGGCCAAGAATCAAGATTTTTCCCTATTCAGAGGGTTTTCCTTGTAAATGCACTGAGTACTTGTAAGTGTGTGTGAGATTGCTGTTCTGTCATTGTTCTCATCACATTGTATTGATCATATAAAGAAGAAAAGTATATAGAAGAACCAATTATCCGAATCAGCTCCTGTAAGGACGCGGCTATCCCTTGAGTCACATCCATCATAACTCGATTCCCACCCGCTGGCATAGGTGGTGGATCGACACCCACATCTCCACCTACGTCCCTAACCCTCCTAGGGTGAGCCCTGTTCCAAAGAAGCTCGGTATCATCTACCTGCTCATCCAGAACTGGACGTGAAGTCTCTCCGATCCGACGCGTAGTCACCATGATGCTATAAGTACTAAGGAAATAGATTAGTATAGATGTAAGTTACTAATCATCCCCGTGCACTCACAACAGTATGTAACTCACTCAATGGAAGTATGAAATATAATGTATGACAATGTAGATAGTCATACAAGTGATGCTAAGTCAATTAAAGAATAAATATGTTTCCACATAAGCATATAAGCATT